GCCTCAGCTATTTAACAGACCAGAGGACCTCAGCAGTTGTCTCACAGCTGAAGAATCATTTAATGTATTTTAAGCTGCTGCCTTCTGGAACTTTAGTCATTGCTCAGATTTGCCCTTTCATCTCAAAAGTTAATGTCAGAGCTCATATTCCTTGTGCTCTGGTGATGTCTGATTTGCATAGCTCTGCAAGGCCCAGGGTGTTCAAGTACATGGAGATGAAGATTATTGAACTCTGTGCCTAGCTGACGTGGTTCCATGGGAATGAAAATGGTGTAGGAAGCATCTGTCTTGCTGATCTGGTCAACACATGACTCTGCTTCAGGATTTGCTCCCTACCCTTGGGCAGAATATCTGCAGTGGCTTCATTTTCCTTTTGTTTAACTCTACAAGCCCTGGTTCAAACTGAGAGCCTGTGAATTTGGCTGCTTGAACACCAGAGATAGAAACCAGAGAAATTGCTTCTGGTCCAGTTCTGATGGAGTTCTGGCTGTCCTTGGGCCCTGCCTGGGCTGCTGCTGAAGGCTTCTCACAGCCCCTGTGGTGCTTTGGGTCAGGGCAGCCAATTTTTTGTCAGGTACTTTAAGGTGCCAGAGATGCCAGTGCCAGATTGGCCACAAAAAATGTAAAATGGCTTTTACAGGTTACACTGATGTGTTTTCTTCTATCCATTTTCTTTTATCTAGTTTCTGTGTTCCTTGCTATGTTAAATATGGCCATGGAAATGTCCTGCTGGTAACTCTGCATAGCCTCATGGTGATTTTTCCCCAGAACTTGCCTTAGACCTAGGTAGGAACTAGGACACTGAAGCAGAGATGGTGTCAATGCTGTATTATGGCAACTATTTAATAAAGTGCCACCATGTTAATGTGGACAAAAAAAAGCATAATGTGAATCCATCAGTTGCTTGTGGTGGAATATTTGTATGTTGGAGGATGAGCTGGGTGGGATTAGGCTTGATTTGGGTTTAAGCATTCCTAACTGCTTCTGTAACCCCACTCACACAGCAGCTCCTGCAGCCACCGGGGCTCCTGAGGCTTTTGCTCCATTAATTGAAGTGCAGTTTTTTGAGTCTAGAAGCAAGATGACTGAATAACACAGAGGAACCAGGACTAAATAAGTGGAACAAGGACAGGCTGAGAGAATTGGGTGTGTTCAGCCTGGAGAAGAGAAGGCTCCAGGGAGACCGCAGAGCACCTTCCAGTGCCTGAAGGGGTTCCAGGAAAGGGGGCGGAGGGGGGGCTTGGGACAAGGGCAGGGAGGGATGGGATGAGGAGGAAGGGTTTCCAGCTGGAAGACGGAGATTTGGATGAGATGTGAGGGAGAAATTCTGTGCTGTGAGGATGGTGAGACCCTGGCCCAGGTTGCCCGGGGAAGCTGTGGCTGCCAAATCCCTGGCAGTATTGAAGGGCAGGTTGGATGGGGCTTGGAGCAACCTGGGCTGGTGGGAGGTGTCCCTGCTCATGCAAGGTGTTCAAACTAGATCATCTTTAAGGTCCCTTCCAACCCAAACCTGTCTGGGAGTCTATGATAAATAATTTCTGGGCCATCTAACTGCTACATGTGAGCTGGCTCTGGCTACAAAGAGGTGGTTCTTGCCAAGCCTGTTTCTGTGCACTCTGGTGCTGCTGTAGCTGGGGTTGGATCATGCAGAGGAGGGGATGCTGGATGGTGAAGGGCTCTATAGAGCAATTGGGTAATAGTTTCCATTCAAGAGGGAGGACAGCAAGCACTTGCTATTTGAACAGACCCTAAATTAAGCTGTCAGGAGGAAGTGCTCCTAAAAGGCCACTCCTGTTCCTGAAACTAAAATAGCAGGAAAGTTTAATCTGAAGTGAACGTGTGAAGGCTCTGAGCTGATAGTTCAGTTTACAGACTGCAATCTCCTGCTAAAGGGTGGGGTGAGGTTAGAAAGAGTTTTTCTAGATGCCATTTTCAGAAAGCTTCAGGTTCTTCCTGGGTAAGCCTTGCTGTGCTGGCATTGGTGCAGAACCAAAACCTAACACTGTGAAGGTGAAGGAGCTGTGCCCTCTGCAGAGCCTGCTCAGCCTGACCCATCCTGCCTGCTGTGAGGAACAGGGCTGGGGATTTTCTTTGGACATCTGGTGTGTTCACTCCCTCCTTCACCTGCTTATTTCCCCAGTCATTGGACGTTCTGGAGCTCTTTTCTCACCATAGTCTTGGTTCTTGCATTTCCTGGTAGCATCACAAAGCAGCTTGTCAAAAATCTTAAATTTTGTATTTCTTTCTTATGCTAAGTGAAATTTTCAGAAGAAAGGATGAAATGTTCAGAGCTCCAGGTTTCCTTTGAGATTGGCTGACCTGGAAGCCATCATTTCACTTTCAACTTGAAAGCAAGGGAGGACGTGGTTGAAAAGATGGCTCCTGAAGAGCCCCATTTCTTCCTTCAAAGAGACTGGCCAGTGCAAAGAGAGAACTTCCAGAAGTGATTTGCTTCCCTAGTTGAAACTCAGTGCAGGGTAATGTGCCTGGTTGTGTGCAGATCTGTGCCATGGTGGGTCCTGAAAATAGCCAAGAACTCTCTCCGAAAGAAGCTTGTTTTAACACGACTCATTTAAGTATGAAGATGGCTTTTGAAAAAATAACTACAATTCATTCAACTTTGAAGCTGCTCAAAGGGATAAGAGCTCCAAACATTTCACCTCCAGGTTTCCATTAAATGGTAGTTCTTCAGGGCCTTTATCTAAACCAACAAAAACTGCAGTTGCTGCTTGAAGCCTGCCCTGGCTGGAGGTCTGCCCTTTCAGTGTTAGAGACAAAAGAGAGAATAGATGTAACTGACTTAGTTTCCATAATGTACTTGCATGCAATTACGTGAACAACACTATCAGTGTGATACCATTGTTGATCAGGAATGTGAAATATTGCCCTAGAGAGGCTGAGGCTGTAGGTATGTGTCACTGGCTCTGAACTGCTGACCATGAGTTTCCTGTAGTTCAAGGAGTAGGAGCCTTTGTCTTTTGGGAACAAGAGGATCTGTGTTCTGCCCTCGCAGGGTAGCTCAGCGACCCTGGGCTGCTGCACAGTGGCTGCTGGGGTCAGCCCTTCATTAACCAGCACACACAAACACCCTTTGTGGGTTTCTGCCACTTGGGCTGTGCCTCTTTACATCTGCAGTTTGGTATCTTCAGCTCGGGGTTGCTTCCTAATGGGGTTTGGTGAGTGTTGTCCCATCCAGTGAGAAATGGTTGTTAAATAATCATGGAATGGTTTGGGTTGGAAGGAACCTTAAAGATGATCTAGTTTGAACACCCTGCATGGGCAGGGACACCTCCCACCAGCCCAGGCTGCTCCAAGCCCCATCCAACCTGCCCTTCAACACTGCCAGGGATGGGGCAGCCACAGCTTCTCTGGGCAACCTGGGCCAGGCTCTCCCCACCCTCACAGCCCAGAATTTCTCCCTCCCATCTCAGCTCCAGCTCCCTCTGCCAGCTGGAACCCCTTCCCCCTGCTCCCATCCCTCCCTGCCCTTGTCCCAAGCCCCTCCCCAGCTTTCCTGGAGCCCCTTCAGGCACTGGAAGGTGCTCTAAGGTCTCCCTGGAGCCTTCTCTTCTCCAGGCTGAACACCCCAACTCTCCCAGCGTGGCTCCAGAGCAGAGCTGCTCCAGCCTTCCCATTATCTCTGGACCCTCGTCTGGACTCACTCACTTTCCCTAAGTTCCTTCATATTTATTTACTTGGCTGAGTTTGTTGTTGGAACTCTAAACTTCACTTCCGTGTACTTGTTTGGTACTAGTTCTCAACCAGGCACTGCTGCCTTGGCTTCCTGGGTTCCTAAACTAGGGCAGATCTTATATTAACAGGGAGAGTCTCCACAGATCATGATATAGAGCAGCATCGAAGTGCTTTGTGCTTCCAAATGCAGATCAAAGGTAAAGAAGGTTGACCTACCATGGTAGGAGTGCTTAAATATGCAGCTTTAGGTAGTAATGGACATTGATGGTTTGGGTTTTTACTTCTTGTACCAGACAGTTTCTGAAAATAGCTAAGATGTGTAACCAGATCTTGTGCTGGTTTTGCTGTTTTGATGGTGTTGAGCACCCAGAACACTGACACTGCTCTGACAAAGTTTCAGAAATTTACCTTTTATCAATCAGCAGTGGTAGGTTTTGCTCCTATACACTCACTTCAGCATTTGCTGCCTGTTGTTCCTAATAATAACTTCAAAAGGATGAAGTATAAATAATTGTTTTTGGGTGTATTTGTTATGCCAACCTGAAAGCTTTATAGCTGCAAAACAGATGAATCATTGCAGATACATTTTGTGTCCAGTGCCAGGAAGTTAAGCTGAATGTTGGGATACAGATCAGGGAGGAAAAGGTAAATAGTGATGGATTTATTTTTTCTACCCTGTTTCCAATGTATAAGTTGATGTATCACCTGTATGTGTGCACTTGACTCTCTTTTTTCACGTAAGCTTTATTAACACTTCACCTTCCAGCACAAAGGACCTTCGTGGGTTTGTTGGCATTAGCAGGGTTTGGTGAGGACAGGACCATGCTCAGGACCCTGCCAAAGGGGTCTCAGCACCACTGAAATGTAGACCAGAGATGATAGAACATCCCAATCTCCACAGCCCAAGAACTTACTTCTCTTATGGCCCTTGCCTTGCTTCTGCTGAGGATGTGTGATTAACTCACAGGTGTGGGGCAAGGCAGAAATCTATGTCAGACTGTGTTTATGCTGGCCTCGTACTGGGTTTTTAATTTGTTCTTTAAGGTTCTGACAGAACATCTCATGAAACGTCCATGCAGCAAAACCTGCTGTAGGTGATTCAGCTGTTTGTTTTTGTACTGCTGTGGGGCTTTGGAAACATCTGGGAATTATTGAGCACTCAAGCAAATGTTTCTTACTGTGTTAGGGCACAGGAGGCACACAGGTATCAACGTCAAAACTGAGGGACCTTAAAAGGTTTCTTACTAAAACGTTATTTTCTTCTTCTTCTTCCCCTCATGACTTTCAGGTTGTAAAGGTGCTAAAGCATGGCTGACCTGGACCACAACCTCAGCCTTGCAGATGCTCTGACAGAGCCACCTCCTGAGATTGAGGAAGAAGTGAAAAGGGACTTCATCGCCACTCTGGAAGCAGAGAAATTTGATGATGTGGTTGGAGAAAAAGTAGATAAAACAGACTATGTTCCTCTGCTGGATGATGATGATGCAAAGCCTGGGAGCCAGGAACCAAAGAACAAACCCCATGCAGATGGTATTCAGGTGGAACGTAAGTGTCTGAAGCACAAGACCAAAAAGCTGCATCACTTAACATCACTTTTTAAATTTATTTTACTTCTTGTAATGTTGCTGGGCCTGCTAAAACAAGACTTTTATGTGTGACTGGTTTTAGTCAGAACAATTTATTTTAAAAGCAAAGGCTGAGCTCAAATCCTGTTTCTTGCTTTTCTTCTCTATCTTCTTTTCAGGTCATCAGCCTGTGAAATCAATTGTTATTACTAGTTCACAGAATAATGTAGTATTAATGTTAATTTTTTGTGGGCTGCCTTGGGCTTCTCAGAGGCAGCATTGTCCAGATTGTGTGACTGCTGCAGTTACCAGTGCTTTCCATCTCAAAAATGTTAGAACTCGGCTCTGCTGGGTAGTGGAAATCCAGGGTGTTTAGGTGGATGACTTGCAGATGCTGATGAGCTCTGCATGGTGGCATCTTCAGGAGGTCCCCACTGTTGGTGAGCTTCAGAGTCCAATGTTTGATGAATAAAGCTTTGGTCCTCCACTGACCTGAGGGTCTGCTTTGATGTTTTGTTGGTTGTGTGCATATATAGTACATGTGTGGCTGTCTCTGCTGGTCAGTAACATTTACTGGCCCAACTGATCGTTAATAGTGTTAATAGCTTGATCAGAAATGGCTGAGAAGAAGGAGAGGTTTAAACAGGTACTTGTCTCCTTAGCTGAGTGAATAGAAAAGCAGTGAGATCTGGGGCTCATCCTTAGGTTTCCTTCTCAGGAGGCAATTTACATGCTCTTGTTTGGCCAGTGTGGTGTGTGTCAAGGCAGTGCCTCGATTAGATGTTCATTTTGTGGCCTTGATCTGTGCCATGTAAAAGAAGAAAACATTTGCTCCTAGACAGGTAACCTGGTGGCTTCTTCCAGAAGGAAATTTTTCTTTTTTTGCCTTAATCTTGATGCTCATCAATATTGAGCCATGTAAAAGAAGAAAACATTTGCTCCTAGGCAGGTAACCTGGTGGCAGTGAGAGGTGCAGGAGAACTGTAACGAGCAGAATAACCAGGACCTCCAGGGGGAATTTCTGCTCTGTTTGAGGTCCTTATTTGCATTTAGCAGTGTATCAGGTGCCCTGTTATGCAGATAATGTAGTTTTCCATACTAAAGTAGTCCCTTAAATGGTAACAAACAAAGGGGAAGGATGGAAGTGGGCAAAGAGGTTGTAAAACATGGAGCTTTGGTCAATTCAGATGTGTATGATTGTGTGCAATTATAGTACCTCGATTGGTAGGTGTTTTATATTTTAACACTGTACAAGTGGGAGTAACAGAGAAGCATGAAGACTTGTTAACACTTTTGCATGTGGTTTAAGGATATTTTAAAATAATTCTACATTGTTCTAGAAGTTACAGATTCTGAAACATCTCAGCACCAGAATTTCTCAGTTAGTGTTAAATTAATTATATAAAATTAGCTTAAAATACAAGTTTCTGAAGTGTCCCTCCTCTGTGTATCCCTTGAGCATAACCATCCTAACTCAGTGTTTCAAAGAACTCTGGATTCTGGAAGCAGGTCTAATGAGAGACCTTTTGGGCTTTCTCAGTGATGAAAACTTGGTGAACCTTCCTGGTGAGGACTGTGGGCTCCTGTGTGGAGAAGTGAGGCAGAGACCTTGGAGCCCCAACACAGGCCACCTCGGGGCCAAACTGTTCCCTCCATCTGCATCTCTCGGCTCTGGCAGCCCCCTCTGCCTCCCCAGTGTCTCCCCTGGCTGTACAGCCACTTGTCTGGCTGCTGGAGCAGAACTTGTTTCCCTCCTACATGTTGGAAGGGGGATGCAGTTTCTTCCACTTGGTTTGGGGATTTGTTTTTCCCTTTTTTGGGATAACTGGAGAGCAGTCATGAGCATTATCTACATCTTTGGCAAGACAAAACCAAGGCCCTAACGGAACAAACTGGAGAGCTTGCTTGCCTTGAGTGGATAAAATAACGTTTCCAGCTTTGCCACCTGGTACCAGGACTGTCCAGCTCCACAGTTTAAAACAGTTTCCATTTCCCACAGGCCAGTCTGAGGATTTGATCCCGTTAGATCTTGATTTATCCAACTGTTTTTTCCCTGAAGCAATAAGGATACCTATTTCTACCATTAGATTTATTCAGTGTTTCTAAGTGTTTTTAAAAATACAGTAAAGCTTAATGTATTTTATTGAGTCTGTGGAATAAATGAGCTGGGGTGAGATGTGACAAGGTCCTCCCGGGGTGGGAGGTGTTGATCTAGTGCAGTGCTGGGAAGTTCCTGGGGAGGGGGGACTGATTTCTGAAAGGCAGCAAAAGTTCCGTGTCCCTGGCTCCAAATCTGACTGCAAATAGCTTTGTTTTCCTGAGGGAGAAGAGTAGCTTTCATGGATCAGGCTTTTCAGCCCCCGCTTGTTAATTTATTTATGTTAAAAGGCAGGAATGTGTTCAGACAGCACGGCCTCTGCTACTGAGACTGCCTTCCCCAGTCAGAAGAGGTTTCATCATGTGGCATGTCAGGCTCTAGTTATTCCATCTCTGCTCGAGATTTTTCTTCTGCTACTTTCTGCTAAACCCAGGAGCCAGATGAGGCAAGTTTAGTGATCAGATGGACCCCCATCGTGGCCTGGGTGGGCCGTGTGAGTGCAGAGAGATGGAGGAGGGAGACGTGATGAGTTGTATGGTCACCTACAAATTTATCCTAGAATACAGCTCTAGTAACAGTTAACTTTTAAAATACCACTGGAAAGGCATAGCTTAAGGAAAAGGGGCTTACGCTTTTTAGCACCTGGCTGGACATCATAACTGGGCAAATTTTGTCCTCTTAGGACTTTGTGAGCTTTCCAGAATGCTGAAGGATCACTTTGGGTGTGCTGCACTGTTGGCAGGTAGCTTTCCTTAGCAGTTCCAAGGAGTTCAGAGGATATTGTGGAGCTTCCAAATAAAGCCATGGAGGCAGCAGTGGCAGTTTTCCTTAGGGTGCTCCTGCTGCAAGGTCAGGGATACTCATCCTAAAGTGTGAAGGAAGAGATGTTTGGGTGGGAGCTTCTTCCAACGAAAGAAAACACTGTGCTTTGATAGCATGGAGCTGTGCTCCTGTGAGATGGTTTAGCTCAAGGGAGGACCAGTACTGCTCCAAAATGGATTGTTGTTGAGGAACTGTGCACAAAGTAGGTCTACAGCATAACTGCCCATGGCTTCCTGCACCACACAGCAAATACACTGGTGGCATTCTTGCACTCTGGTCACAAACTTGGTGATGAGTCTTAACTTTGTGTACAGTTTTTCAATAGGGAAGCAAATACTAAGTGTGATATAAGTGACAAAGATTCTTGTAATTTGCTGTAGGCAGTGGCTTTGGGGCTTTCTCCCAGGAGCTGTGTCACCACGAGATGGCTCTGCTGGCACTGCAGGATGCTGCTGGGCAGACACAGCAGAACATCCTCCTCTGGTGTGGAAACAAATCCAGCTCCAGAGCCTCAGATCTGGGGCCAAACCACCACCTTTCCCTTTCCCTCACGTCCCTCCCTGCACTCGCAGTGAGCACCTCTCCTGCAGGAGGCAGCAGCTGGGCTTTGGCAAAGGAAGCTTAAACACTGTCAAGTATGAGACTGAAGATGGAGAATGTTCCATATACCTCAGAGGGATTAAAAAAATCAGCAAACAATGTCAAGATGCTTGCATTTTTATCTCAAATGATACGTTAAACACCTTCTCCCTCTCGAAGCCTGTGCCTTGTTATTCCTGCCCCAAAGTTGTTACTTCTGGTTAGTGTAAACCCCTACATTGCCTTTTTGTGCAGAAACAAGTATTGAGCATCAGATTCTTGCAAAATAAACATTAACATTAGTTCACAGAGCCCAAGGTGATGAAGGGGCACTCCTAGGATATGTGGGGGAGGTCTTTATGCTCTGCGCCAGATGTCAGCTGGTTTCCCAGCACCTCATGGCTGCAGGACCTGAGGGTTTCCTTCAGCACAGGGCCTCATACCATCAGTCTGTGGGGAGCACGTTGCAGTGAGACGGGGTTTTTGGTGCTTTTTGTTTGATTGCAGCTTGTATTGTAGAGCTACCTGATCTTGGGTTGAGGGGCTGAATGTGTAATAGACTTTTCTTTTCCTGAGGAGGAGGGAGGGCTTTAAGAATTGGCTTGATAAGCCAAAGTGTTCTTGAAATTTTTCCATGTTTTATGAACTCAAGTGGTGAAGCTGATCTAGTTGTTAGAGTTCCCAATGCAAAATCAATAATTTTCCAGCTCAGTTGGTTTACTCTGATCTGGCATCACTCAGGTAATATTTGTGCTCAGTGAACTTCACTTAGGGTCCTTTAACATCTCGCCCACCTCGGATTCAATTCCATCATAGGGGTCATAGGCAAGGTGGTTCAACCTTCAGCTTCCTGTTTTCTGCAGCCCAGAAACCACCTCCCCAGCACTGTGACCAGCAGGGCCAGGGAGGGGATTGTCCCCTCTGCTCCACTCTGCTGAGGCCTCCTGCAGGGCTGGGAACAGCTCTGGGATCCCCAACACAAGGACATGGAGCTCCTGGAGCAAGTCCAGAGGAGGCGCCGGAGATGCTGGGAGAGCTGGAGCAGCTCTGGAGCCAGGCTGGGAGAGTTGGGGTGTTCAGCCTGGAGAGGAGAAGGCTCCAGGGAGACCTGAGAGCACCTTCCAGTGCCTGAAGAGGCTCCAGGAAAGCTGGGGAGGGACTTGGGACAAGGGCAGGGAGGGACGGGAGCAGAAGGAAGGGTTTCCAGGTGGCAGAGGGAGCTGGAGCTGAGATGTGAGGGAGAAATTGTGTGCTGTGAGGGTGGGGAGAGCCTGGCCCAGGTTGCCCAGGGAAGCTGTGGCTGCCCCATCCCTGGGGGTGTTGAAGGGCAGGTTGGATGGGGCTTGGAGCAGCCTGGGCTGGTGGGAGGTGTCCCTGCCCATGCAGGGGGTTGGGACTGGATGAGCTTTAAGGTCCCTTTCCACCCAAACCATCCTGTGATTCTATGAGGGTTCATGGGGGCAGAGGGATCTCAGAGGAAG